CCAAACAAACAAACAAAATATTGGAAAAAAAAAAAATTTGTCGGTTGTACGGGTTATAACGATTACGTTTAAAAACATCGAAAAAATAATTTTTTTTTAGTACGTGATAAATTATTTTAATTATTAAAAAAATTTTTATTACTCGTAATAATTAGGTTTTTCCATTAAATAATAATCGTTTCAGGTACGTTTTATTATTATTATTATTATTACCTGTATTTTATTATTACCAGTTCGAACCTTTGCAAAAAAAACCTTGATACGGTACCGATTTTCATAAATTTTTTCAATTTTTTTTCATGTTTTTTTTTTCTGGAAGAATTGTTAGTTTTTTCTTCCTTCAGGCACGAATTCCCTCCCCTCTCTACCCCAAAGGCAGACAGGTGTAAAACACCTTGACACCATATTTACCCTATGCACCTTGAGAATTTGAAGGCGATGATGATGATAGTAATAATAAGCTCTCTCTTTCTCTCTATCATGTTCCCCTCCTTTTTCCTCCCTCTAACATCCCCCCAAAATATTTTTCTCTCCTACCTGAATGAACGTTTTACGTTCGTTATAAAAAAAAATTTTCAATTAAAATCAATAATTTTGTATTTTTCGAATGATAATAATAATAATGATTTTTACATCACGTTCGATATTAATAATAATAATTGAAAATCTTGGCTCTGTTCGTACCTAAAAAAAAAACCCTTGAGGTACTCGTAGGAAAAACCTTTTTATCATTATTATTTGTGAAAGTGATGATTGAATTTAATCGAAAGCTGATTTTTAAATTATCATTATCATCATCATTATTATTATTTGGTATTGTGTTAATAAGACTTCAAAAAAAAAAATTGACAAATAAATTATCTAATCGAATCAAAAATCAATGAGTAAAAATTAATTTTTTTACAACATATTAGGTAGCAATTTTTATTTTTTATTTATTAAAATGAACAATGAATGATTGATTGAGTGCATGAATGAATGAATGAATTGGTTTTTTTTTATTTTAAATTAATTAATTAATAATTAATAATAAAATAAGAACGTGTGAGAGAGTTAATAATAAACGTCGTTAATTGGTTTTCCATAATTGATGACAGATTAAATTATTTCTTAAAAATGTCGATTTTTTAAGGGTGAGAAAATAATTTATTATTATTATTATCGTTGTTGATGTTGTTGTTGTTGTTGTGGTTGTTATCGATAAGTTTTCTCATTAAAAAAAAAAATTACTATTCGTTATTCGATAATTAGAAAGAAAAGAAAAATGATATTCGTGGTAGGGATGATGATGATGGTGGTGGTGGTGGTTTGTATGAAATATTACCACCCCTCCCCTTGAAAAAAATTACCTTAACAATTTATTATTATTATTATCGAAGTGGTAATAAATCGGGGTTCATGCTAGATATCGTGGGATTATTTACATTTGAAATTTTTACTTTTTTTTTTTTTCGTGAGCGTTACATAACGACCGCATCGACTCCGAACGTTTTGAAATTATTCTAATACAATAATCATTATCATCATCATCATCATCATTATTATTATTATTTGCGAGAATTTTTTATTTACGTTATTAAATAAAAAAAAATAATAATAATAATAAATTTTGTTTTTTTAATCACGGGTGGATAAATTTAAATTTAAAAAAAAAATATTATAAATCGTTTTTCGCGCGCGTCCGCGCTCGCCTTTCTCTCCATTTACTACTGCCACGACTGTTTATTTCATCTATGAAAAGGAAATTTTGTTGTTGTTGTAAATGTCGTATATGTTAACCTTCGGGCTTATTTAAACCCTTTCGAAATTTTTTTTTTTTATTCAAAAATTTATATTCTTTTGTGTGTGTCACATACACTCGTAACAATTTTAAAATTCAAAACCGTTGGAGAGAAAAGGAAAACATGATAATAATAATAATAATAATAATAATAATAGTAATATTTTTTTAAAAAGTTACGTTATTATTATTATTATAATAAATGATTTGAATTAAATTATTACGGATAGTTTTTTTTTTTTTTTTTAAACGTTTCCGGCTACCGAAATAAATATTATTATTATGATTATTTTGTTTGACGTAAAATGTCTGGCAAATCAGTTTTTAAAAATGACCGCCATGATAATAATAATAATTATTTACCGCCGTCCTCGAGGCGGTTGTTTAAAAAAAAAAAAAAAGACTGCC